AATAAGTGTAAAGTAGAGCAGTTTAATGTCACACTGTGGCACATTCTAAGCAGACCAGTGACATCTCCATAGAAACAAGCAGGTGCAAAGTTACACAGTCCATCTTGAACAAAACACTGGACCTTCCGGTGCCTTTAAACGCTGAGTCACTGTGAACTCACGTTGTTCCTTCACTTGTTACTCTGCAGTCCTTCCCTCACGGCGAGTATCATCCGCGCTTCCCCCACTCCAATCTTGGCAGCTACAACCCCGAGCTGCATGTCCCCCTCGGAGGCAACTCTTTGGACTTAAAACCTTTCTCGTGTCCACATGTTTGGCATGTTTGTACGGCTGGCCCTCTGAGCAGCCCACCCTTAACCAGCCTTTGCCCGCAGCCAGCAAGACGCTCACGCCATTACCGAGACACTGATGTATTATTGAGGAACCCATGGGTGAGGATCAAGGAGCTGCCTGCTGCCAAGAGCGGAAAACGTCTCTTGTTGTGGTATCCGTGTCCACTCGTCTTCACGCATTGCAAATTTATACAGTATGCTCCGTGCTTTAGAAGTGACTGTAAAATGATAATAAAAGAATATAGACATGACAGTGCGCCGGGCTCTTCTTTTCTTCCTCCTCTCTTCTTCTGCTGAGTCTACCGAGGTTACTTGAGCCAGAGCAGAGTAGACATTTCATTTATATAAATAATTACTGTCTTGAAAGTCCCCCAGGGCAGGCCCATAGCAATCAAACTTCTAATGCTCTTAAAACTGCCGCCATCTTTTATTAATGACTGGCTATAAAATGTATTGCTATAGCCTGGCGCGCGCTCGCTCTCTGTGATCCGCAAAGCAATCGTGTCAAGTCTGAATTACCTTTTTATTCCACCACGTGTATTTTACCAAATTATAGGCCGTGTTCTAACAGCGTACAATGGAATCCCTATATAAAAAAGCATTGTGTGTGTTCTCATACCAAACGCCGTATGTGAAATTATCAGCTATTACCGGCTTTAATTGCACCTTTTTGCGCCATCTACGTATTGAAATGTAGCGGATCGCAAATGGAGATGAGGTGGTTGGGGTGAGCGGTTTTTAAAGAGTCCAGATTATGATTTTTTTTTTTTTTATTCTATGTTCTAATGCTGTTTCCTCATCACAAACAGACCTGGAGCTGTGTTTTGTTTTGTTTCATTCACACAGATTCACGCGTATTTAAGCTGTTCCACCTTGTGATGTCATCATGTGGTAATACAGGAAGAGCTCCACTGTGTTTTTAAACTCCACACACCTTCACTAGAGTCATTTCATCATTCGGCCGTCCACAGCAAAAACTGGAGAGTTAAAATTTCAGGGTAAAATATTTCAGAGTTGGTTTTAACATAGAAAGTGTTATTTTAAATGTGGGCTGGAGTTGGGGTTATTTGTCAGAGTTGATATCGTTGACATTAATTCAACTTCCACCAGTGTTAATTCAACTCCTCTTAGTGTTAATCTGGCTCCTCCCACCCACCACTTCAAACTCCCGTGAGAGAAGGCCAGTTTGAACCAGTTTTGTTCATCATTTTATCTTAAATTAACTCAAATAAAGTGTAAAAAATAAAACACCTCTGTGTGTTGTTTAGCTACATCAGGATAACTCTACAAAGTGTTATCCGTTTACTCTCAAAACATTAATATAACTCTTGATTTCGGGATTAAACAGGAACTTTGGTCCAGTGTTACTAAATTAACATTTACAAAAACGTGAAATTAACTCTAGATCAGAGTGAACTCATATAAACCCTGAGAAAATGTTCACATTGATTCTGTGAGAGTCAATTTTAACATTACAGTTTTATTATTACAGTGTTTAATATTACAGTAAATATGACAGATTATAGCAACAAATAAATAAATAAGTAAATAAAGTAAATTGTTAGTTTCCATCTGCTGTAGGTGCCACAGAGAACAAAACACAAAACACAAAACAGTGACACTAAGACACACAAAACAGTAACGAGAAGTTACAAAAATACAAAAAAATGAATTTGTTTTAAAAATATGTTTCTGAAAAGTTACAAACAGGCTTTAATGACTTTATTCAGATAAATAAACAATTAGAGAATAACAAAATATGCAAACACAACATATAACAACAATAATGTTTAATCCTTCACTACTCAAATGTCCAACATAATCATTCTTTGTGTTCACTTGTATGACATTTTTTGCCTATTTACATTGTGTGTTTGTTGCTTTGTACAAATGCAAAGGCCTGAAATGAAAAAACTATAACCCTCTCCTGTGTGAAGGTCAAAGGTCACCAGGATTATAAATGAGTTTATATAGTCCAATTCTGAAGAATGTTGAAAATATTAGATTCAAATTATAGAAAGAAAAAAAAAAGCAAGTTTCCATCTGTTGTAGGTGACGCCGAGACAATACAAAACACAAAAGAGCGACACAAAAACACACAGACACACAGAACAGTAACAGGAAGTCACAAAAAATACAAAAAATGGATTTGATTTATAAATACGTTTCTGAAAAGTTACAAAGCGTCTTAATGACTTTATTAAGACCAGGAACACAATTAGAGAATAACAAAATAGTCCCCATCTGTTGTAGGTGACACAGAAGACAATATACAAAATACAAAATATAAAACACTAAACAGTTACACAGAGACACATAGAACAGTAAAAGGCCGGATTCAGAATGTTCACAGACTTGGTTCTCCTACATCTGCAGTTTAAGGTGCAGTTTGAATGTGGATAGAGATGATTTTATTCATTTATTCATTTTCATTTTTGTGTTTGTTCCTCTTGTGAAAATGCACAGTACAATAAATAACAGCACATACTGTACATGAACATAACAGAAGACACTTCCATGATTAGAAAAGAGCAGATGTGAAGAAAAAAAGTCTCATGTTAGTCTGCAGCTTTATGAAATGTAATAAGAGTGAAGGTAATGAGTGAACGGTGGCGCCATGTTCCTGTGTGAACCATCGATCTTCTTGACCTTTATCAATCATCCACACTTTTCTTTCCTTTATTGTCAGTGGGAGACTGTTCCAATAATTAGTCCCTTTGACAGGTCAGTCTGTAAAATGTGAAATACCAATGTCTACTGAAGAAAAAGGAGCTGCTCATTTGAAAACTTCATGACATCACGAGGTGGAAGAGCATTTTTGGAGCTTTGGAGATGTAAACAGACTGATAATACAGAGTTACTCAAACATGTGAACGAAACAAAACACAACTCCAGGGATTTAAAAAAAATATATATTATCATCTTTTTTTTTTTTAAATGAGGTAACAACATTAGAACATAATTTAAATCTCTCAAGAGTCACGTTTGCGTAATCTGGTGCTTTTAAATACGATGTTGCGTTGGGCCAACAGAGGGTAGTGTTGCCTCATCTCATATTCAAATGACTCTGACGACAAAGAACGTGGCTGCCTGTACTCACCAGCACCCAGCAGCACCCAGCAGCACCCAGCAGCACCCAGCAGCACCCAGCAGCACCCAGCAGCACCCAGCTCTGTGGACACACAAATGAATGATCCAATACACCGCAGAAATAAGAACTGATGAGGAATTTAGAATCCCTCACAGCCCCTCAGTGCAGAGAATAAAACACACAGGATTGACTCACTGGGAGGGTAAAATTTGATTATACTTGAACATGCATGAAAATGATAAACATTATTAGAGTTTTGTCATATTTGTATCTAAGGTGTGTTGATGATGTTTACAGAAATAGAGACCTACAGTTTGAAGAAATATGAATAAATGAAAAGTGTATATCATTTCATGTGTACACAGAGAGAGAGAGAGACCACAAAATAAAAATGTCATGTTTTCATTTTCAAAGAGAAGCTGCTTTAGAAGAACACTGCAAATATGTGGAGCACAAAAAATGCATTTATTTAACTTAAAGTGTACATAGTCTAATACAGAACCTACATTTTACATTTTACATAGAAACACTGCAAGGAAAACATCTTTTAAAATCAACAGTTGCCTATAGATTTTGATTTGGATTAAAACAATATTAAGAACTTGCTCAGATTGGGAGAGAGGCCAAGAAAACAGATCAGGAAGTTAGAAAAATATAAAAGATTAGTTTGATTTATAAAAGCATTTCATAGTTTCTGAAAAGTTGCAAACAGTTTTAATGACTTTATTAAGACCAGAAACAAAATGAATATACAAACACAACAGATAACACACAACTGAAATCCCGTAAATAACCAGTCTACGTGTTATTCTACGTGTATTTTGTCTTTAGCCTATTTACAATTCGTTGTTTGTTGCTTTGTATAAAATGCATAAACCTGAAATGACGGTCTATAACCCTCTAATGTGTAAAGGTCAAAGGGCACGAGGATTATGGATGAGTTTAAATGTTTAAATGCTGAAAATATAACAAGAGTTTTGAAGAAATGACTCTTTTACGCGTAAGAAAAGACTCTGTTACGCGTAAGAAATGAGTCTGTTACGCGTAATTCCAGGCTTTGATTGACAGTTACGCGTGTGATTGACAGACAGGGCGCAGCGTTTGGCCCGGTTCTGCTCCTCTTTATGAAACAGAACAGCCCCGGCGACAGAAAAAAGGTCTTAATGATTATTTGACAGTATCTTTTGAGTTTCGTTTAAAGCTGTGAAGTGGACAGATGAATAGAGATCTCTTATTTAAAAAGCCATTAAGCTGAAATAAGAGAAGAGTTTAACACCAGCCCAAAAGTCAAACACCGCGTGAGGAGAGCGCGCCAAGTCACTGATAATTACTTTTGCCACGAAGCCCGTTCCGTGTGTCCGCGCTCCCGTTCCCCGAACCTCTCCAACGTCACGGCCGCTCTTCAACTTGGATCCCATCCCACTTTTCTCGCAGGAGCAACCCCCCAACCACACACACACACACACACACACACACACACACGTGCCCGCGCATACACACGCCGACATACGCACGCGCCGCTGCATATAGCCTACCCACAAACACAGTCTCGCTTTTATGCCGCGTGAGTCAACTATACAAGTCGTCTCGGACCAAACTGGGGAAGCGTTGGACCACTCCGTGTTTGGAGAGACGACGGAGGCGCAGCAGCACGAGGAGGAGGAGGTGTCTTATCTGCCCGTTTCGTTTACTCTTCTCCCTCCCTCGCGCACTCACGCACACTCTCCATCAGCGGTGGCCAGCGGAGCCTAGAGTTGCCGCGCCGTTCCAAGACGCACAGGAGGTCGACTCGGTGCCAAATCGGTCAGTTTTTTGGGAAGAACACGCAAGGACTGTGTGGAATCCTAGAAAGCGCAGCGGCGTCCTGACCCCCAGAGCGTGGAGGAGCGCGGCCGATTAAAACAGCAATTTGTCTTCCGGAGAGCAGCGCGGTCCGGGATTTGGAAACAGGTCCTCCTCCCGCCGTAAACACGCACGACACTCCACTACTCCGCGTTCAGGTGGACATCTTCACCAAACAGTCACAAAGGGGGAGAGGAGAGGGGACAGCGGATAGTTGAACGCCACAAAGGACCGACACCACGGTTCAAGCCGACTCCAAGTGCAGTTCACCGGGCGATGCCAGAGTAAATGCCGGGGCAATGTCCCGTCGCAAGCAGGTGAACCCGCAGCACTTATCTTTGACGCACAGGGAGACGGTACAAGGTGAGTACGGGGCTGCACGCGCCTGCTTTTACTTGTTCTTCATCTTTCTTATATTTGTGTGTTTTGTGTGCCGTTTTGCATTTGTTAAAGTGGATTATTATTGGGCTCATCAACTTGTAAAGTTGCTTCAAAAAGCTTTCAGCAGAACGCAAAGGAAAAAATCTCTAAAGCTCCACAATTCCCCTGACATCTCCCAATTTATCAAACACGTGCACGTTTTAAAACAAGTCTTACTCTCTTTTGTTTTTATCATCTTAATTCTTCATTTTATTGGAAGGACACACACACTCAAACACACACACACACACGCACACAAACACACACACACATTTAGGCTAATTTGCAGTTAAATATAAAAAGAACATTTGTTGTAAAATTGCGTGTTTTTTACTTTGTGTAAAAGTGCTGGAGTGTGAAAGTGTGTGACACGCGTGAGCTTTCAGCGTGGATTTAAATGAAATGAATCACTTTTCACGCTCTTACACGTAACGTGCTCGTCCGTATGGCACCGTGCGCACCCTGTTATTAATGTGTATCCGGTAATATCCTGTTTTATACTTTCCCCTCTGACTGGAGCGCACTGTGTTTGTTTATTGAGTCCATTGTCTAACTTCAGAACATGATTGTGATCCACGCAGAGGCCGATTATTCTTCTGTCTCATCTTATTTTTGATCTGTTCACTCGAGCATAAAATACATTTGAGTGGAGCTCACGGGCCTTCACCTGTGCGTAAAGAAGCACAAAACAAGTCCTTAAAAAAACACTCCGTAAACTTTCACAACGTGCGTTTACATCTTTGATTCAATTTGGTGGAGATTAGATGTGAATATTTCAGAGGGGTGTGTGTTTATGATTAAAAATAATCCAATTGTAAATCAGTTCTATCAGTCTAACCTCCTCATGTCCCCGCGCTGCGCTTTTAGCCCAAATCCAATTTACTGTGGAGGGCCTTAATCTGGCTAATTCACAGCAGAAGTTTATGATGTAATCTCTGGCCAATGTGTTGAAGCGCAATAAGGAGCTGCTCCTTTTGCTCCAGCGACACGTCCCGCGTTTATCTGCGCGAGCGCAGGAAATCATTAGGGCAATTCCGTGCGTAAATACACGAGTCAGGAGCGTAAATGTTTAGACGTGAAAGTCTGTGTTATTCCTTTCACAAAATCACGTTTCAGACATGCATATAGTGACGTATGTGCCACTTTATTAAATCCTCTTTCACTTTGGTTATAAAGGAAAAGACTCACACATGTGCCTCATTTTTGCCCGAGTGGATTAATTTCATTTTTCTTGTTTTTATTAGATTTTTCCTTCTTAACAGATATTCGATCATTTTATTTACAGAAGTGCTCGTCACTTTCTCACACCTGAGTTCACTTCAGCATGTTTTCACTGCACAGAAGCTTCTCTTTGACACGCCAACACTCCAAACTTTATTTGTTTTTCTTGATTCACCACTGCACACACAGTACAGTTTCTAATCACATCATTATATTTCTTGTCATGCAAAGTGAAAATGCAGGTGACTAGTTGTGCATGTGAAAGGTGAGTGTGTGGGCATGTAGTGGTGACTTGACTCAGGCCTCGTCAGTGCAAGTGTGTGCAGTAACAGTAGATAGAGGATATTCTTGCACGAGGCCATCTGCAGGGCCTGGATCCTGTCTTACCTGTTTCTCACTGCTCCTCTTGCACTCTTGGCCTATGGCAATGACAATGACCTTCGCAAATATACTTCAAACACTTAGTTAAGAGTTGAACGGTTCGCTAAATCCACAGTGTAATCATGTAGGGCTGGTCTATTTGCACAGACAATGCTGCTTTGTGTACAGTGACCATCACAAGTTCAAAAGGTCCATGTGACCGTGCACAGTCAGCTTTTGCACAGTAAATAAAAAAGTAAGTACACAAGATTACACCTCCAGCTTAAACTGACATTTAATTGAATCAACATCTCCACTTTTTGAATATGAACAATACACAGACCACACCCCTGCGCTAAGTCCAATATTAATACAAGTTTTAATGCCACCAGTGGGCGAGAAAGAATCTGGAGCAGTCAGTGTCAGCGTAAATCAAAAAGAAAGGTACAAAAGTGACATGAGAAAGGGGGCTATCCGGTGTAAGTTACCAACTGAACGCTCAGAAGCCCTGCAGCGTGGGCCTATAGGACAGTGGAGTTGGGGAACCTGTAAATCCGCATAGTTTTGGAGGCAGCTTATAGAGAGAGACATGTACTGGAAAGGCTTTTTGCAGACGTTATAGTTTTGAATGTATGCGAGCTATGTACAAGTGAAGAGACAGTCGGTAAAACACATGATGTACTGCAAACTAAACTTCATGACCCTTTTGTGTGCACACCCTACCAGTTATCCGTGTTTGTGAAGGAGACCAAGACCCCCCAGGCTTTTCTTTCTTTCTTTCTTTACTTACTTACACATTAAAATCTACATTTCCAGCAAGCGTAAAAGCAGCTTATTACATTGTTTGGAGATTCTAATATTAGGGATTAATGTGGTGCAGAAACGTGCCAGTGAAGCCTCGCCATAACTGTTTACGCATGCTTCTTCTTCTTCTTCTTCTTCTTCTTCTCCATATGGCGTTGCAGAGCTACACACAGATGCATTGTGGTAACGCGTTGATAAAATCTCGAAAAGATGAGTGAGTGGTGAGCGTTGGCTGATTTACGGTACATGTTTTGCTTTGCTCAATTCCTGCACATTTTCTTCCTGTATTTCACTCTAATGGAACACGTTTAATCAATTTCACACTGCCATAAAGACTAGTATTATTATCTGCCTGAAAGTGTTGTGCAAATTTGATTTATAATTCCAAATGTCAAAGAGCTCAAAGCTGACAAGTCAGTTATGGAGATTTAGTGACAGACCCCAGTTAGCTGCGCAAGCCATATTTTGTTCACTTTTTTTCTAAATAATTGAAGATTTATGATAAGGTATGAAACTGCAACAGATTAAACGCTGATAAGATAATGAGTCGCACACACACACACATAACCGGGGCCTTGCACAATACACAGCGTTGCAGCCCTCATTGGCAATAGGAGCTGAGGAAAGAGGGAAGGGAGAGGCTGACCGGAGCTGCTTTTTGTTTGAATTTTTGATTGCAACCATCTGCATCGTCGCTGGTGTCATTTATTTTCAATGACAGCGCGATTCTTAGCGGCTCTCCCCCTGTGGGTTTCACATGTATACGCCTTCAGCAGGGCAGACTTAGCTGAAACAAAGAAATGCAGGCAGGTCTCAACTCATGCGCTATGGGAGGACTACCACACAAGTGCCCCTGGCTTTAGCTGTACCTCCAGAACAATGCGTCAGCCTGCATTAACGGTCAAAATTATTCTGTTAGAATTGTTTAGAACTGTCAGAGCGTTAGTGCATTCACTTTTATTAATACAGTTTACATAACGACACAGAGCATTTCACATTTTTGTTTTAAACTTTGAAAATTTGCAGCATGCCCTGACCTTAACCTGCTGCGTTCCTTTAAGCTGTTGAACCGTAAAAAAGTAGAATTTACAGAAGTGAAATTCTCATGTACAAGTTGTCATTTTGTGGTTGTCTTTCAGCTTTAATCTTGAGAGTTTGACCTTTACAAAAGCAGCGTTAACCGTAAGTGTACACAATCAAAAAACAGATATCGTTTTTGTCTTGAATTTTCGCAAAACTGGGCATTTTCGTCAAAGAACTCCATTGTGTGTGTCCCATCTGGTCTGCATTGTGCACCAGTGGCCGCGCACAGGCTCGGGCATTTGTACAGCAGCTCTCCCTGACGCCCGTGAATCCCGCTCGAGCTGATAGGGGGCGCTGCAAGGCTGTTTCACCGTTTCATCTCCCCTGCTCTTGCTCTGCTCTGCTCTTCTCTTCTCACTCTCCCCTCCTCGCTGTCACCGAGTGCAGGCCCGGCACGGCGCAGCAGCAGCAGCAACGCGCACACCAGCTCCAAGTGTGTGTGTGCTATCATAGACAGCTCAGTTTTATTGCGATCATCACGTCTCCTCTTTCTCTGTCTCTCTTTTCTTTGCGTCCACTGGGCTCCTTCACCTTCCTTCACTTATCAACCTTTCACATTTGAGTTTATACAGTATAGATGAATTAGGGATCTGTCACCAAGCCAGAATTAGCCCGTTCGCTTTCCCGTTTTTCACTCCGGGGTGTTTGTGTCCATAGATTCCAGGTTGCTTTTCTTGTTTTTCTCACACGCAGGTGAAGGAGCCTGGAGATACAACGGCTCTCTTCTTTTTTCTTTTTCTTTTTTTTTTTTTTTTTTTTTTTGGAGATGTCCAACTTCTATTTTATTTTAGTGACACTGCCAAGTTCTTAATTTACTACCTCACACCCCGAGGGCTTCTCACTCAGAGCAGATTTGAGCAGAGGCCTCCCTTGAAATGCCCAGCTGTCTATCACCTCCACTGCACACACTCCCAGGCCTTTACAAATCAGCGTCTGCACTTTTATTTATTTTTTTGAAACAACATGCCTCGCCATAGTAGCACTGCACGATTTTGGAATGAAAACTCAGATTGTAATTGTGTTTTTATTCGCAATACATGTTTCAAAAGTGTTATTTTGAACAACAACACAGTAGAAAAGAAGTAAAAGCATACAAGAACTTCATATATTTCAGAACCTGTTTGTATTTGCTTCAAAATCCTCTTTCAAAATTGTGATTCTGAACAGCAACACTATAAACATTTGAGAGAAGACCGAGAAACAGACTGAAATATGAACTGACTCTCATATATTTCAGAACATGTTTGTAGACGTCTAAACTACAGGGAACAGTTTTAAAAATTAAAAATGACATGATATTTTTATTGTTGCATCATCATAATAATGGCAACCTTTGAAATTTGATGCTCCAACTGAAAACGCAATTTACTTTCTTGTCGACAGCGATGGGAAAATACTTTGAAAATATATTTAGTTACCGAGTACTGAATACCTGCATTAAAATGTGATGTTTTGTAACGTGTTCTGATACGTGT